TGGCGTGTATTGGTTCATGGTAAAAAACTGCTTGGACTGACGCTTCAAACGCGGTATGTCATTAAGCGATGTGACATCTCTGTCAAAAGTTATGGCGTTGCCAGATGGGTCCGTCAAATATGGGCAACCCTGTATTTAGATATTTTTCTTCTAAGGGGTAAAGTACCCAGAAGGAACCCTTTGTGTGGATTTGAAGACAATTCCATTGAAAATTTTGGCTGAAATCATAAAAATTCCGAATATCGGTGGGTACCGTTAAATGGGGGGCTATACGATAACGTGGACCTATATAGATAATGCTCTTGCAGGGAACTCCTTGCGTGAATTTTCATACAATTTCATTGAAAAATGTGGCTAAAATCACCATGGGGGCTATACGATTTGATGAACCCATAAATATAGTTCTTTTCCAGGAGATGAAGTACACACGAGGAACTCCTTATGTGGATTTTCAGACAATTCCTTCGAAAATGTGGCTAAAGTCATCAAAATTCCGAATATCGGGAAGTACCGTAATGTGGGGAATATTCCATATCGTGGACCTATATAGACAATTCTCTTACAGAAGGTAAAGTACTCACAAAGAACTCCTTGTGTAGCATTTCAGACAATTCCATTGAAAATGTTTCTAAAATCATCAAAATACCTAATATCAGGTACCGTCATATGGGGGCTATGAGGGCTACATCTTCGAATTTTACCTGCCTGCAGATAAAAGACTGATCTGTGCAAAATTTTAGCTTCCTATATTAATTCGTTTTGACTCTTGTGTGATTACAACAGACGGACAGACGAACTTAATATACCCTCCATACTATGTATGGTGGAGGGTTCAAAAAAGTTGTTTTAATAACAAATACACAATTAAATTAGCATTTTTTATCTTTTTATTTAAAATAAATAGCAAATTTTTAACAATTTTAAATTTACATTTTATTACCTTTTTATTAAAATAAATAGCAAATTTTCATTGTTTCTCAATTGTTGAAGCCAATTGTTAACAAAGTGTCGCCACATCATTTTTTCTTGAAATCTGTTGTTTCTTCCAACAAAAATTACTCATTTGTGAAAACTAAACAATCTGGTCTTACAAATGATAATGTGAAGTAATGATAAAAAAAATACTCAAAACAGGAATTTTGTTCAAAAATGTATTTTGAAATGTTAAATAACGTTTTAAGAGCAATGACAGGAACATATTTATAAGTGAAAACTAAACTTTTTATTAAAATGTTCACACTGCGCTGGGGTAGGACATGGGGTCCAAAGTATCTCTGAATTTCATCCGGCGTATTTTTTCTGTACTGCATTCATTACTTTGCGCCTCAATTAAAAAAAATATCAAAATTCCCCACATTATGTAAAAATTAACAAAATTAATTTTCTTTTCGCACAAAAATAACAAATTTAGTGAATTTCAGTACTTTTGGTACACTTACTGTTTTTTCACAACGTTAAAGGAAATACCAAATTCAATACCATTTGCAAAAATATCAAAAAGAGTAATCCCAATGCCTTATTTTAGATTCCCAACTCTTTTCCTTCCCCCAAATACAAATTTTGCTACAATTCAGGACTTGTCGTAATTTTTGTGCGTATTTCCAAATCAACTCCAAGTCTCGTTTATGCAAACTAACTCTGACTATAAGGCCAAGTTTCAGATTTCAAGCAACATCCTTTTACCCAATTCCAAATTTAATACCATTTAGTACTTTTCATATACTTGTAGTACGCATTTTTTAATTACCTCTTTATTTTAAGCCTACACACCAGCAGTCTTCGCCCAAAACCAAATTTAGTACCATTTAGTACAGTTATTGCACTGAGCACACCTTTCCAAGACCTCCTCCTTATATCAGCCTCACTTCCTAAACTTAATTCTTTTACCAGCTATCAAGATTTTAACACAGTCTGTTCATATAATACCTGATGGTACCAAATTTATTGCTTTTTAGTATTTTTCGAACAATTAAAGTTCGAGTTTCGAAAAAAAAAATCCTTCATCTCCACTTTAGCCTCAGCAAGATCTTCCGAAACTCTGGGCTCTGCTACAGACGTTATTATATTTTCTCATTCTCTCCTCTCTTCTCATACTCTCTTCTGCTCCTCTGGGAATTCTCCAAAAGGGCCGCGTCATCTTAATTGCTTCTATGGAGCCTCGTGGACCCTGCTGCTTTACAAATTTTCCAAATAAATACAGCAATAAATATAGGATTTATCCTAAGTAAGAGCTCAATCGATGCTCAACATGCGGACCACAAAGGTTCGGATCATTGTAACATTTAAAATAAAACGACATAATGTGATGGTTCCAATTTCGATGGTTTGAAAAAGATACTAAAATAAATGAACTCCCAATGAATTACAGTTCCATGAATTTACAACTTCTCTTAGCAATGATACCAGAGTAAGACGTTTTGGAACACCGTCCTTTCAATAAGCACATTATAATATTTTAATATTCTTATGCCACTGTCACTATATTTTTGTCGTTACAGCACCATCATTTAGAATGATCGCAATGGTGCCATCTTAGCGCCGGACAACATCAAACCAAATCAAATTTCAGACCTTATGTAGGGAGCTCTAGTTAAACTTTCCATATGGGCACGCTGTAACGGACTTGGCATGAACCCATCTAAAACTGAGCTCTTACTTTTTGCAAGGAGGCTGCCAATGCTGGACGGTGTTATGCTAAGCCTGTCTTCTGAAGCTAAGTATCTCGGTACCGTCTTAGACCAGAAATTAAGGGGCGAGGGATAAGGGGCTTAATTGCACTTTACTCCTGCATAAACTGCATAGGAAAGAGCTGGGGACTTAAGCCTTATATAATCAAATGGTTATATGAGTCAGTCGTCCGGCCAATCCTAACCTATGGAGGGCTAGTTTGGTGGCACTCTCTAGGGAAAACTACCATCAGCAAAAGCATTGATAAAGTCCAAAGACTTGCATAGCTACTTATTATAGGCGCATTTAGGAGCGCACCCCAAGACAATGGCGGAGTCAGTCCTTTGGACACTCCATCATTCTCAAGTATGTATAGAACATAGGAAATCAGGCTAAAACCAGTGATTATATATCACCTAGGAAAAGCTTTCTGAACCCACAACATTCAAACTTTTAAGGGTATAGCTGTCTATACTGATGGGTCAAAGATGGAAAGTGGAACGGCAGCTGGGGTCTTCTGTGAAAGTCTAAGTATCCAAAGATTCTTCAAACTAAACAACGACTGCAGCATTTTTTAGGCAGAAATCTTTGCTGTCAGGAAGGCCATAGAGCTGCTGGCAAACGGAATCAATGAGCTGGATGGACCGGTGACTATATATGTCGATAGTCAAGCGGCCCTGAAGACTCTAAATTCATTTACAATCAATCAACGATACTGAATACTGTAGGCTTTGTCAGGACGAGGAGGAAACTGAGACGGTGGAGCACATACTCTGCCACTGCCCAATTCTTATCGGAGTGAGACAGAGGCTACTGGGTAAGCAAATTCTGCCCGACTTGTCCTCCCTCTCCGAAACCGAGACAGCGGTCATTCTTCAGTTGGCCAGAAGACTTAAATGGCTAAGGACGACAAGCTGATTACACCGTGGATACAAACCTACTATCTTCAAATTCACTCTTCTCCACTATTCGTTTCCCTCTCTTTTATTTTTTTATTTTTCCATCTTCCCTAAATTAGGATGAACATCATGGACCAATAGGTCAACGAGTGGAGTTGTTTGCACAAAAACGCATCCTTTAACCTAACCTTAAAGATCCGAATCGTATTGGTAATGATGCAGGCGCCTAGAACATAAACACAATCCAGTATAGAAAGCTCTTAGGACGACGTACACACATACACCAACCTAAGCTAAGGGACTATATAACTCTGTTTTGTGGGGACCTTACTAGAAAATACCCTTACAGCATGTAGTAGTTATAAAACGGAAATTGAATCAATTTTAATTATTTAATAATTAATTATAATAATAATAATTGACAGAATATGTCTTCTGCATTTAAACGTGTAACCAGATTTTGGGTTATATTTTTATTTTTAAGCATAAGCACTTAAATTACATCATGAAAACTATTATTTACCATCAATAGCATAAAATCTAAAAGTTTTCGACAAGCGACCCGTAAAACAAAATCAGCTTCTTTATTGTCTTTTTTTATTAATAATTCAAAACACTAACATTTACAATTTTGTTTTTAGATTAAACGAATGCTTTTCAATGGTAAACAAATTAAATGCTAACAATATAAATAGGTTACATACATATATATTGGGGATGTAACGAACATGCTTGATCATAGTAAATTGATTGATTTTATATATTTACCCTGTGTGCATTTTTAACAAAGATGTATCCTTTTGTTTCTTTTTCAAAATGTAAATTTATGTAGTAGTTATGAGCCAACAGGCGATAGTTGTATTTACATACATTTCAATAAATACATGTGTACATATGTTTGTTTTTAGCAAGAATTATGTTTTGCCGATAGTTATTTAAATCTGGTTGTAAAAACAACATTCACAAATATACATTATAAAATACAATGTATGTATATAAATATTAGCAAATTTTGTAAATTGTATAGGTATTATTATTATATTTGTTTGTATAATTTTCATTTTGGCCTGAATACAAATATATTTCGTGTTTTTCGTTTGTCGTTCACATATTAGTGTGTTCTAGGTGGTGAGAGGAAATGCAAAATTTTATCTATGTCTAAATGCATCAGATAGTTCAATAGTTTTGCAAATACAATTCATTTGTAAATTTACTCTTGCTGAGTAAGTGGTTTATTTGGCTTCGGTTGATTTTTGTAAATTCATTTTTTTTTTCATTATTGGGTCTATTGTTTTGTTCGCCCTTACAATCATCTACTCATTTCAAATAGTCTGCAGAAAACAATTCTTAAAAAAAACAAAGCCTTTATCAATTTTACACTCGTTTGAATTCCCTAAACTGTTGCATTTCGCATAAATGAAACCATTAAAGAAATCCTATGTGTTTCGGTTTATGTTTGTGTTTGTGTGTTTTTATTATTCTACAATTTCAGCTATTGTTATGTTTTAATTGGAAATTGTGCAAATCTCTTTCTTTTGTAAATAACTTATAAAAAAATATTTAATTAACAATGTCGGCTATTCAATTTACAATTGACTGCCCACACGGGTAACGGCAGCATTGATAGCCTCAGCCACATAATTTACATTGTTCTCATTCAAGCCACACATATTGATACGTCCAGTTTTCAATAAATAGATGTGGTATTCATCAATCAAAATGCGTACTTGTTTTTCTGAAAAGAGAGAAGCAACAAATGAATTGTAAATTTTCATCTTCATTTTATAAATAAATAATCCAAATGACATACCATTTAGACCAGTATAGGAGAACATGCCAATCTGTTGGGTAATATGATTCCATGTACCAGGAGTCTTCAATTCTTCAAGGCGAGATCTTAAAGCTTGACGCATTTTAATAATTCGACTGGACATGGTTTTTATGCACTCCATCCTAAAAAGAAAAACAGATATATGTAAAAGAAAATAAATAAACTGTAAACAGGTAAGTGTCCAAATCGGGTGTCTTGGGAAAATTCGTTGTTGTTTTGTATAGGATGTTGGGAATTGGTTGGAAATTTAGAAGTATTGTATCAAAATTGTATGGAACCTAAGTTATGCGCATATCAATGACATAATTTTGTGGAAGAGAAAATAAAAGACGGATAAGAAGTCATTTAGATTGAGATATAAGGTACAGTAAATACGAAAGCTAAGGGACGCTCCCAACGAAATAAAGTTGAGTGCTGCTTCCGACTACATACATTGCTTTATCTAAGTTTATTTCTACTACAAATAGTTGTCGTTTCTTTTTATATTCGCACGGCACGCAATGATCCATTTAATTGTATCCATATTTGAACTCAGGTTTCGTAAGGGAGAGTAGAGAATCTGTGTTTTGGTTCCAAGGCCTCACATTTAGCCCAGCGATATTGTTCCTAGTCTTTTTTGAAAAAGGGCTAACTTAGGTAAGTCTAAATTTGGTGATGTTTATTAATGATGTTAATATAACTTGTTTCATTTACAGTGTTAGCGTGTTAAGAATCGTATGATCGATCAGACATTGCATTCGTCAATTTAGTGAGTGAGTATTAGTTAAAAGATAGATAGTGTTTAGAATCGGCCCACTTAACATTTTTAAGATTGATATTTTCAATGGATTTAAAGAAACCCTGCGAAATATGGATATATCTCTGCCTACTTCTTTCGAATTTCTAAAGAAGACTCAGTATTTACACTTGACATTTCGCTTTTTAAGTGATATCGTATTAACATCCTCGATCGATCGTTACTTACGGCCGGATTGAACGTTATATTAATTATACGTAGTTACTTTTTCCACATTCATATTTAGCCTTTTTATTAAAGCATAGTTTCAGGCGCTCAAAAGAATTTTTAAAAATACCATTTTATATACATTTTTGGGACACAGTAAATAACATAGTATTGTATAGAATATAGTTTATATAGTACATAGGTTTTTTAGGTTTAAAAATTCTTTGAAACGCTTAAATCTTTTCCATTCAAAATTCAAGTTTCACATAAGACTCTAGCGCTCTAGACTAGCCTTAAGATGAAGGTTTTTGACTGGAAGGCTTTTTTGACTGGAAGACTTTTTTTGACTGGTCTTCGGTTGTCTTCTCCGCAAAGAAACAAAGAAGAGCAAGGTTAACAAGTAATAATTACGGCTCGAAATTAACCTAAGTCATTCAAACTTCTTTCTTCTTTTACGAAGAAACCAGTCGATGACTTAAGCCAGTGAAAAAAACCTTATATCACCTTTAGCCTTCCTGTCCTCATTGTTAAGCCCTTTTTAACCATCCTTGAGTTGACTTAAATTTAGGTACACCAAACTGATTGCTTCTTCAGTCTAGCAAAGATATTGGGTTGAATTTTACAATGTATCCAATTGGCACATATTTCAATGCTCATGGTTTGCAATACTATGCTAAAATATAGATGAAGATACAATAGCGTATATCTTCCCCGAAATGTGTTGTATTTTGAATTCATACTTGACGACGTTCACATTTCTCGCTTTAAACAACTCCGAATTTAAAGGATGGATGTTAGGTCACTTATCTCTAAACCCTAACTTATTAGGTTATATTTTAAAAGTTAAACAAGATTAAAAACCACCCTCCGGGATATGCTTCGGTGTTTATTTAAAGAAAATTTGAATTTCAATTTTCTATTTTAATAAAAAAAAATATTAAAAAATAACTATCACAACTCACCATTCTTGTCTCAAGTCGGGGTTATTCAAAACAGTCGATACAATGCGGCTACCAAAAGCAGGAGGATTCGAATACATGCCACGTATCAAGAGAGTAAACTGAGATTGTACAGCCGATTTGTGTTCTGTGGTGTTCGAAACAACTGACAGATTACCAACACGCTCACAATACAAACCAAAATTCTTGGCAAACGATTGAGCGCAGAATAGCTCAAAACCACGCTTCACAAAGTAACGTACAGCCCAAGCATCATGATCGGGATCACCACTGGCAAATCCTTGATAGGCCGAATCGAAGAATGGGAATAATTTTTTGCGCTCAATTAAATCGGCAATTTGTACCCATTGTTCTTGCGTAGGATCACAACCGGTAGGATTGTGGGCACAGGCGTGCAAAATAATAACAGCTCCTTCGGGGGCCTTTTCCAGATCAGCCAACAAACCATCAATGTCCAGCACACGTTTGTTTTGATCCCAGTAACGATAAGTGTTGGGCTGTTGGAAACCAGCATCCATGAAGACCTTATGGTGATTTTCCCATGTGGGGTCTGAGTAATAGAAAACAGTGCGATTCATATGGCGACGTAAAAATTCAGCACCAATACGCAAGGCACCTGTACCTGACAGGGTTTGTACGCCAAAGGCCTGGAAATCCGTGTATTTAGTTAAAAAATCGATATAAAGTAAAATTTCCAATTTAACTTACCCTATTTTCTTTGAGTGCCGGTGAATCTTCTCCCAACAGCAATGTTGTTGCTGCTTTGGTAAATGCTTCAGTGCCTGTGAAATTACAAAAATGTTAATATTTAATTTAATTTCAGAGATTTAAGTAATATTAAGACTTGAAACAATTTAAATTGTTAAACAATTCAAATTTCATTCTCGCAGTCCTGGTAAGAATTAATTAGCGATGCCTTTCCTTCTCACTTTGGTAAACCAACACAGCCATTTGTAATTACAGGGCTATTTTATCCTCATGGGTTTAATGATGTTGTTGTTATTATTGGCCACATTCTTGTTGTTGATGATGATGGCCAGCTTCTCTTTGACCTTTACCTTGAGCTCGTCGAAATAAATGTTAATGTGCTCTACACACAAATTGTACTAACCTAATACGGGCAAATATTCATGGTTAATTGCCTCATCGCTGGCAATTTTGATTTCGGTTTTACGGACCACAGGCAACACCCAGGGTTTACCCTCACTGGTACGATATGCTGCAAATGAACACAAACATGAAATGAATTAATATTTAAACAGAAAGGGAAGAACCGCAATTCAAGTGATTTACCACAACAAGAGTTCAGCGACACAAAATGTTCATGATGAGATGCTTTTGGAGTATGAACAATTAAAATGATCTCTTTGATATCTTCATGAGGTATGTGTAACCACACATATTTTGGTTCAATACCATGTGTATGGATTTAAAGGAACCATATTGTTTTTATAAGCTTATGAAAGGTAAGTAAAAATACAAAGCGAGCTTAGTCGGACGGGTCGACAAGGTCCCGTAGATAAAAGAATATCGGCCGAACCAAATCTGATTTAGGACAATTAAAAGAACATTAAGTTTGGCCGGGCCGAACTTTTAATTGCCCCAACCAAATTAGCAGAAAATAATCAGTGTAGATGCATTTGGTATAGCATCTATACATAGGAGCCTCCTGATATTTCTATTTCAATGTTTAGGTATTGGAATGGTCCTTATACAAAACTAGCCCTCGAAACGAACAAACTAAAATTGAGTGGTAAATTATTCATAGTAAATTTTACTGAGTGAATTTTCTCTGTCTACTCAGACCCCACATGGGAGAATCACCACAATGTGTTTATGGATACTGGTTTCCAACAGCCCAACACTTATCGTTATTGGGATCAACACAAGCGTGTGCTGTACATTGACGGTTTGTTGACTGATCTGGAAAAGGCCCCCGAAGGAGCTGTTATTATTTTGAACGCCTGTGCCCGCAATCCTACCGGTTGCGATCCCACGCAACAACAATGGGTTAAAATTGCCGATTTAATCGAGCGTAAAAAATATTCCCATTCTTCGATTCGGCTAATCAAGGATTTCCTAGTGGTGATCCCGATCATGATGCTTTGACTGAATGTTTCTTTATTATGCGTGGTTTTGAGCTATTCTGCGCTCAATTATATGCCATTTGCGTGTTGATAATCTGCCAGTTGTTTCGAACCCCACAGAACACAAATCGGCTGTACAATCTCAGCTTACTCGCATGATACGTGGCATGTATTCGAATCCTCCTGCTTTTGGTAGCCGCATTGTATCGACTGTTTTGAATAAGCCCGACTGGAGACAAGAATGGAATTTTAGAAATTTGAAAATCGTGCAAGTTATGCAAAAAGTTATCGAAGATTTAGTAAAATCCAGCAGGAAAAACTTGCTTCGTAAAATGTATACTTTTAACCAGACCTCCGAAAAACTTGTTAATAGTGAAACTCACTAGAAAAAACGAGCAAACTCTATTTTTCGGTTTTGATCGAGTAAGCCTGCTTATCTCATTTTAGAATGAGGGCGTAGTTCGCTCGAAAACAAGCAGATTCTACCCTTCTAGTTTTTGTTATATCGTTGTATTTCTATGTATGTGTAAATTCTCAAACCACAGCAGCAAACGAAACAAAAACAAAACGAGTTTAAAAAACATTGACGCTAACCCGTACCAACAATGCCTTTACTAGTGTTGTTGCTTTTGTACACAAAATCCAGTATCCGATTCCGCTCAAAAATTTGATACATCGGTAGATCCCCCAAAGAATGTCAAATTTTTCTAAGAAAATAATTTTCCTAATAAAATTAAAAATGGGTATCCGATTTCATTCAAACGCACAACTTAAATCAGCCTTACGTCAGATAAGAAAATGGGATATCGGTTCACTAATTCAGGTACCTTCCTCACAAAGGATCATCAATCATTTGTACAAAATATGGGTCATGTTTGTCCACGTTTTGTTATAGCCCCCTTATAAGGATTACTTCGATTGTAAGTATTTTTTTACATTTTAACCATATTTAATACTAGTTTCGGCTATTTTGGGAAATTTGAGTTCTTAGTAAGAAGAAACAATCCTTGTAAAAAATTATCAATATAGGCCCACATTTTGGTATAAGCCTCTATGAAGGTATTCCCTGATTTCAGCAATTTCCGGCGTCTTTGACACATTTTTTTATAAATTTGGCCCCTATTTGGAATCTTGGTTTCCCCCAAGATCCCTATGAAGGTATTCCCCCTGATTTCAGCCATTTCCGGCGTCTTTGTCACATTTTTTAATAGAGATGGCCACTATTTGGGATCTTGGTTTCTAAGGGGATAGAAAACCTCTTCGCAGAAATGTTTCAATTTAGGTTACGGAGTAAAGCCCACATAAAAGTACCACCTAGTTTAACTTTTTCGAGGGTCTTGACCACATTTCGTAATCGGTTAGCCTGAGAAGTTAAAACCCATTAAGAGATTTGCTGTAATTACCCATTACAACTACCTCCACTTAAAATTTCTCAACCCCCAGACAATATTGGTTGGGAACGTGGTTGGAAAATAAAAAATTGGTCTCAGAATTGAAAAGCCATTTGAATTTTTGCTATTCTGACCTAATACCATCACCTGCATATGGTATTTTACGCGCCGAAGCTAGATCCCATTGTGAACTACAAATACCAATCCGTGAAAAATGTGGCAAAAATCATCCAAATACTGAAACGTTCTATACCAACCATCCTAGACACAATACAAATTGTTTTGCCAAATTTTGAAACTTTACGTCAAATAATGTGGGCTGTATCGTAATTTCAAAAGACGGAAAGACAGACTTAGAATTTTATGCCGATCATGAATATATGTACTTTAAGGGGTAAACGATGAATATGAGATGTTAAAAACACTCCTTTTAAGATGGAGGGTATAAAAATACTTGAAATCTGATTTATCTACTTTTAAAGCTACATCTTTATAATGGTGTCCTTAAAAAGTTTGACCTGGGAACCCAAAATCCTTTTGAACTCCCATCCACCAAATTGGCTGATGCAAAGTGATGCACAGGAATTTATCTGAAGCTTCATTGATCGAATGTGAACATGAGACCTAGAAATGTGCCATGGTTGTATGCATGGCCTATGAACCGGTCTCTCAGAAAGTCCAATGGGCTGCCATAATACTGTCGAAATATTTTATTGTGATTAGATTTCAATCAAAAAAATGTGTTTGACGTCAAAAAAAATTAGGAGTTGTGTCCAATTTATCAACCTCCAAAAATGTGCTATGAAACCAATTGGATTGGAGTAAGGTGAAATATTTCACTTGCTGCCTAACACTGAAATTTATACTGTTTTCTTAATTCACCTTCTGTGTGACCTATTTATAAAACTTGGTTGTATGCTTAGGAAACATATGCGTAGAAATGTGAACTTTGCATACTGCATGTGTTTTTTTTGCGAATATACAAAAAAATACAATTCAATCTCAAGTGGTTTACGATGAATATCTTATCTTAAAATTATCACTACCATATTGAATGATTTTGCAAGGGTAGAAACAAAATGTTTTGCAACACACAGAACACAAAGTGATTTAAAACAACTTGTTATATTGTGCAGCAGATAAGATTTGCATAAAAAATAAAACTTTGTCGTTTTTTTTATTTTTGTAAAAAACTAACCAAAATCGCTGGCATTTGGCAATACCAAGTATGAATATACTATACGATTAAGATAAATAAAATACATGTGTTTTTATCGTAATACATAGCATACAGGGTGAGATAAAAAAACTGCAACAAAGTCAATCATAATTTTACATTTTTTTTTTATTTTATTGAATGAAAGCAAAAAAAAAATTGAAATGGCATCACAATTAAGAATAAGTTTAGATTTGTTCGAATTGGTCACCTTTGGCACGAATTATGGCCTTCAAATATCCAATGAAACCGTCACACGCTGCCCGAATGTTGCTCTGCAGTATTTTAGCCCATTCCCGGCGAAGCGCTTGCTTGAGATGATCGACACTTTGGTATTTTTTGTACCAACCTTGCTTTCCAAAATACTCCAGACATCACCAATGGCCGGCGCCCGAGTTCTGGTGGCCAACCGAAGGTGCACATTTTCAGCTGACCTCTGTGGCAAGTAAACACGATCATTTGGTTCGTTTACAAACTCCTGGACAACAAATGTTTTCTCATCGGAGAAAACCAAATTCGGCAGTTCACCACTTTCGGCCAAATTCTTGCACTTTTTGGAATTTCAATGGCTCTATCCCGAGCTCAATTTTTCAATATTTGCCGAACGAAATATTGCGATATGTTCAGCTCACGAACCATTTTTCGGCCACTGTGACGCGGGTTTCGATCAAGTCGCTTCTTTACTTTTCGAACCATTTATGCTGATGTTGCTGTTTTCTTCCGTCCACTTCCTTGACGTCGGTCTACGCTACCAGTATCACGGTAACGAGCGATGGTACGAGACACAAGATTTATTCACATTTAAATGCTGAAGTGCTCTAACGATAGCCACTTGTGGGTTTCCAGCCAAATATAATGAAATCACACTATCACGCTTGAATTCCATCACGAATAACTTTTATTCTGGAAAATGTAACTGGAATAAATTTAACAGGTGTCGGACGGGTGGCTTAGAAATGACAGCAGTTGCAGTATTTTCATTTCACCTGTAGGTTATACCTCTTGGAGTTGGTTGCAGTTTTTTCATTTCACCTGTAGGTTATACCTCCTTTGTCACAACGTTGTCTATATAGGTTCACGTTTTTCTATACCCAAATATAACAGTACTTCCTGATAAGTATTTTGACGATATAGACCACATTTTCTATCGGGTTTGTTTTAAATTTAGTATTAAGAGTTTATAACAGGTTCTACCTCTAGTGGATAATCATGGTCTGTATACGCCCAAGTTTTACTATAGTCCCCATATAACAGTATATACAGATATTCGGCATTTTTACGATTTTAGCCACATTTTCTATTGGATTTGTTTCAAAATCTATATTTGTAGTTTATAAAGGACTCTACAACCTATCCAGTTTCCATATTGCTCCAAGATTTCCAGATACCAGCCACATTTTCCACGTTTTTTGGATTTGGTAAATAACAAACCTAGTCGCAAGAAAATTGATACCGCCTTGGTCAAACGCCGAATATCTGGAGGAACCATTATATGAGGTCTATATCACAATTAGAATCCCTATAA